TATAAAATATTGTATCAAATATATTTTATTATTTATAAGGCGATAAATCATACATAAGTATTCTAAAATAATTTTTATAATGTATCATAGAATAAAAAATCAAAGAATATTTTTATAATATAAATACATATATCAAATAAAAAGTATTTTCTCTAATCACAATTTTTATAAAATTTTATAAATTAATCATCTTAGAGTTTTTTACACTTTAAATTTTTAAAGCACCAAATTAACCATATTCTTATAAGGCATGATTCCATTCCTAAAACTACTAATGAGGTTTATTTATTTTATCTTTTTTCTACTAAATTATGTTTATTTATAATAAAAAAATTAGCATTTTAATCGCTCTAACTTGCACATCAGGATTCTTAAAATTCTATTTCTTTCTATAATTTTTTGGTTATATCATCGAATTCTGAGTAATTTTTAAGGTTTTGCTCAAAAATTCGTTTTAATTTTCGCACTAGTAATATTTACGGACTTTTTTTTTTGAACCTCTTGAATTAGTTGAGGTTATAAAAAATGAATTCGTATAATAAATTTATTTCTTCTCAATGCTGTTTTTATGTGTCCTAGATCTGTTTTTCCTTCCTGAGAGAAAGAGAATGCCTAAAAGGTCTACTTAAAGGTATAGGCTAATCTAGTTGAGTAACTTCATTATTAACCGAATAACACAAAATTTGGGCTATTTTAATTTTTTTATGAATTAACAAGAAAATGGTAATATAATATAGTTGAGTTAAGGAGTGAAAAAACCTTTGTTGGGATTAAAGTAAATGAAAAATTATATATAAGTTAAGACAATTTATTTGTACACTTTTAAGTTGTATTTTAAATAATAATTATTATTTAATTATACATTTTAAATAATTAGTATTAATTAATTATACAGCTAACCAATCTAAATTACTTCACCTCTTTTCATATCGAATTCTTCTTCGCATTCAAAATTTATGAAGTAAAACACCAAAAATTTTTGTAATTTTTTTTCAGGAAATTTTATTTATTACAATAAATACATATTTTAAATGGAATAGGTTTTATTTTTTTAGTTTTCTTAAATTTTTTATAAACTTTGAATTTTATTTATTTATTTGTGTTTTATTGTATATTTATTTTGAAGAGTGCAAGTCAAAATTTTTTTCTTAGGGAAGTTTATATATTATCCTTAAATTTTGAAAAATGTGTAAAAAGTTAATTATATCATACATTATCCATTAAATTATTGTGGAGAAATATTGAAAGAATTTCTTCAACTGTTTTTTTATTTCAGAAATTTGATCCATCCCGCCTCTCTTGATTTTATCCTTATTCCTAAAAAAGACTCTGCTATTAATATGGAGTCTTTCTAACAACTAATAATCAGTTCTTGAATTCAGGATGTAAAACTAAAAATGAAGAAGGACTTCAATTTAAAGAATATGCGAGTTTATAATTTACCAGCTTTACTAAAATTGATTATTATTTGGAATATTTATATTTTATTAAAAATGAAAAATATAGATAATTAAATTTATCAAAAATTCGATTAAATATTGTGTCTATTAGTTGTAATATTTTTAAAGTGAAAAAAATTCAGGTAAATTAAATAAATTTGAATCACTAAATTACTATCATATTCAGATCTTCCACCACATCTTTTTATTTATATTTTAGTTTAATTTAATTAACAATATAAAGCTATAATAATTATATAATGATGGAATTTAAGTTTTTATTCAGATTTCCTTCAAGCATGATTAGATAAGATCTTTCAAGATACAATCTTTATTAAATTTGAACATTTTGATAATTGTGATTATTTTTATTTAAATGGAATAAAACTAAATCTGCATTAATCCAATCTTAGCAAAATTAAACCTTTACCTTTAAATGATAAACAACTTTATCTTCTTACAAATTTAAATTGGTTTTTATTCTGATAGGTAAAGATGTAGTTCTTGATATTAATCACTATATAAAGTAATCAGTTAGATTTAAATTTCAAGAGGAGAAAGTAAATTCAATTTTTAACAATTTTTACCACTCTCTTATTTTTTACAATTAAAAAAAAAAGGTGCAAAAAAATTGAAAATATAAAGTTTTTTTTGTTAATTTGAAAATAATCGATCCCTAATTCAGAAGAATATTTAAATATTAATTATACTAATATTATTAAGATTAGGTAATCGGAAATTTCATTAATGTATAAAAATAATTTATCATTCTTATTCTTTTATGAAAATTTGAAACAATTTATCAAGAAATTTAGTAAAATAACATTTTACAGACCCAAGTCTTACTTAATTTAAGAAGAAATTATGAAGTACTTGTAAAATTTCTCAATATATTTATTTTATATTCAATAATCTGATTTGTAATATCTACACTATTATTTTTCTATTAATCCTTATTTTAAACAAAACCGAATTTTATTTCAAATTTATTTGAATAAATAATTCAATGAATTAAAGTATATTCGCTTATGGTTATTTAAATAATGGTAATTGATAATTTACTATTATTAGGCCTTGTTTATTAGAAGCAGGGAAAATTTGAAAAAGCCATAATTGAGTATAACAAAGCTATTGAAGAAAGTCCATCGTATGCTGCTGCTTTTCAAAATAGAGGTAATTCAAATTTATGAAATATTAGCAAATGCATTTTCAAGTTTAATGAATTTTGAAGAAGCTTTTAAGGATTACTCTATAGCCATAAGGATTAATCCATAATATAGCGCAGCCTACTTTAATAGAGGTTTGAATAGTTCTTTATGTTAAGGATTATTACATGGGAAATAGGGTAAATTTGAAGAAGCAATAATGGATTATACAGAATACATTAAAATGGTTCCTGACAATGCTCAAGCCTATAATAATAGAGGTAATTAAATCTTTTAGAAAGAGCTAATGCATATTAAAATTTAGGAAATTTTTATGAAGCAATAAGAGATTATTCTAAATCAATTGAAATTAATCCTCAATATGCCGCTGCTTATAATAATAGAGGTAATCAATAATAAATTAATATTTTGGCAATGCTTATGTAAATTTTGGAAGATTCAATGAAGCTATTGAGGATTGTTCTAAAGCAGTAGAATTGCAAATGGTTAATGCAGATGCATTCTATATTAGAGGTAGGCTAATTGAAAAAAATTAGGCAATGCATATAAAAATAAAGGAAAACTTTAAGAAGCAATAATAGATTATTCAAAAGCTGTTGAAATAAATTCTTAACATAGTGCTGCTCATTATAATAGAGGTAATAATAATATTTTAAAAAAAGGACTTATCTATTCTGATTAGAAAATATTTGATTAAGCAATATAAGATTACTCAAAAGCCATAGGAATATCGCCAGCAAACCCATTATATCAATTTAGTTTAGGTTTTCTGTAGTTTTCTCTCAAACAATTTAATTAAGCCTATTAGTATTTTGAAAGTGCTCTTGAATGTTCATTAAAATTAACTCTTTAACAAAGATTGTAATTTCAACTTTCAAAAGACAAGATGATGTTTCTTCATCAAAAAGTTGAAATTTTAAGTTCTATTAATTAAGAATTACAAATTTTCAAGGAAGCCCTTAAGGATTTGCAGAGAAATAATAAAATATCTTAAATTTAGGATTAATAATATTAATTTGTGATAAATAATATAGAAAATCAATTTTTACAAATTGTTCCATCTCAATTAAATGAAAATTAGGTTGAAACATTAAAAAAACTTAAATTTTATAAGGAGAAAATAAAAGGTTTGTAAAAAAATATTTATAAATAAAAAGAAAATTAGAATTAGGATTTAGAACCTTTAACATAAAACATTAAATAAATAAATTCTTTACAGTTAACACAAATGAGTAGATAAAATTAAGATTTATATGAATTAAAAAAACAATTAAGTTCAGATTAGAACCTATATTATCGCTCATTATATTGGCATCTCTTTAATTATTTTTATGCAATAAATTTAATTTCTAAAGATTTATAATAAATCAATATTCAAAGTCATTCAGTATTGGGTTTGGAAATTTTGTAAAAGATTGAAAAGCTCAAGAATTAAGTTGAAGAATCTGAATCAATTATTATTCAAATATTTGAATTATTAAATTCTGCTCTAGATTAAGTTATAAATACCAATAAAAATTAATTTCAAAGCAGAATAAGTTGTATAAAATAAATTTTGCAGGTTTTCATCAAATTTCCATCTGAATATGAAAGTGAAATTGATAGTGCTTCATTATTTTTGGCAAATAATATCAATTTCTATTTTGAAAAAGATAATGTTAATATATTTAATATATAAATAGAGAGAATTTCAATTTTAGAATTTGATTTTGAAAAATATTCTGAGAACTAATTTTGGAAGACTGGAATCCTTCATACATTGATAATATTGAATTATTTAATAGAGAACTTTAAATAAATATTAATTTAATCTTCTTTTTGCAGTTTTAAAGATGTCATGGTAAGGTCAATAATTGAATTCAATTCTGAACTCTTTAGCAAAAATCAAAAGGAATAATAGGAAGGTTTTCTGTCCTGAAGTTGTAGAGTTTTATGAATTTATAATAAGTTTAAATTATAATATTATCAACTATGAATTTCATTTTATTTTTTATAAGAATTAAAATTGTATTTTCTAAGAAATTGTGAAAACTACTTTTAATTTAATTGGATTAATATGAAGTATACGATTGACTAATTTGATTAAGAAATAAAAACAAAAATTTGAAGATTTAGTGTTTTATATTCGAAAACATGAAATATATAATTTACATTTTGTGCCTTTAATTTCAAAATAATATGAAATTAAATTTAAATAATTTATAAAATCTCTCATATTAACCATAAAATAAGTAAATAATAAATGTAATGTTATTTTAGAATAGTTATAAATAAAAAATCTATAAAATACTATTGAATATTTAGAAATATTTTAGGATATAACTTGGTTTTCTTTAAAAACATTAAGTGAAATGATAAAGATGAAATCCATTTTACGAAATTAAATTTATTTTGTTTACGGTATCAGTATATTATAAATCAATCTTTAATCTTTTTAATTTATATATACCAAATATTCATATCTCAACCATTCAAGTACTTATCAATTTGTTCATTTCTACATCTATTATAGTCTATCGATATCTGATTGTTGATTAAGAATTAATCAATGAAATAATTTGCCTATTTATAATTCTATATTACTTTTAATGTCCTATCTAAGCCTTTGACATTGACATTAAATGACAACGTATTTTTGTAAAATTATTTCTTAGACGTTATTCTCTTTAATTTAGTTTTTTGAGTTGATTATTCAAATATACAATAAGAAAACAATCTGCTTTTAGAAATCTACAAATTTTATACATTACTTCGACACAAAGTACTTTATATTTTTTAAAATAAACTCTAAAAATGTTTATTATAAAGGAGTAACATAATCTGACACAAAGAAGCACTATACAAATTTATAGAGATAATGATAAATTAGAGTAATTTTCCTATTCGCATACATAATTTGCTCCAGCAAGGAATATAGTAATAGAGCAAATTTACCCTGTTTAAACATCTAAGAAATTCAAACTTGAAATAATATAAGGTTTTTGTTTTACTGCTGCCATTTAATAAATCAGTAAACACAATCCTAGAAGTGATGCTTTAAAAAAAATATTTCCTTCAAAATATGTCAATATTATGATGATAATAGTTTTTTTTGATAGTTTAATTGATTCCCAATAATAACTTTCACTGTTATATTCATTAAATAGATAGCAAATATGTCTTCTGAGTTTTATTTAATCCAATTATGCTCGATTTATGTACATAATAAAAAATAAGGAGAAAGGGATAAAGAGACCAAAAATTCCTAGGCCTGGTATCGCAAAACAAATAATCCAGGATATATGATTAGGAGTTCCAAATAGAAGAGATACATCTCCTTAGATATAGGAAATTTATGAAATCTATCTTTTAGAAATGATAGAACAGAACCTAGATAATAGTGTATATAATTACTATTTAATTAAAGCGGCATAATTTGACACATATAAATATAGCAAGGTATTCGATATAATACTTCTATTCAATAGTTATTTTTTGTATTTAGCCTAAATGGTAAATCCTGCCCAAATAATTAACAGCTGAATTATAATCAATATTAACATAAATATTAATCTTAAATAGATTAATTCTATATTTTAGATTTAAGATAGATAACAATCCAAATTGTTAATCATAACGAATAATGTGTTACTTGTTTGTTCGATAAAATTAAATGAAATAGAGAAACTGATATTAAAATTAAAAATAACTGAAAATATCCATAGATAATTCAGTAACATTTTGATTAGAATACTTTCATGATCTATTAATATTAATAATTAAATTACCTTAATTTAATTTAAATATGATTTTACTATACTTTTATCCAATCTTAAGAGATGAGAACAATTTATTTGATTTATCAATACTTCTTAATGTTATTAATATTGAAAGAAACGACCTTAATATTAATTAATTTAATAATACCATATTGAAGTAAATATAAAAGATAACATACTTTTCCAAATTTTATTGCATTCTTAACATTAAAAATCTGATAAATTTTTATAAAATTATCCTTTCCCTCTTTAATCGAAAATATCACACTCTTCGCATAATCCTCCTATATGACCCAAACTACATAAATTATGTCCAACATCCCAACCACCGATACAAAATGTTGGGTTTTTAAAGCAATATTCTGTATAATCTGAAAGATAATTCGGTCTCCAATATCCTGATAACAATTTAATTTAATTAGATGAAATATTTTCAAATTTTTATTTATCAAATATTGAACATTTAGTAGTGTTATATGTTACAGAATAAAATCCTTAATTTGATTAGCAAATTTAACAACCTTTATCAATATAGAATTCTCCCAATTAACATTTAAGAGTTTTAGCATAAATTAAATATTATAATTTTTAATAACTCTATTCAAAATAACAATTTAATCCTATCTATAATAATTATTAATCTTAATTGTAAGGATCAAAACTAAAAGATAGAGAACTCAAATCAAAAGCCTTATTATTTTAATCTAATTATAAATTGTAAATTATTTTCTCTTATGATACACTCCGATTATTTTCATAAAAAATTGCTGTTTTAACTTAACAATATGAATAATTTAAATCTTCTAATTTTTCATTAAATCGATTTTTAAATGATATAAGCATAATATCTATATAATTTATATATATTTAGAATTCTGGAACATATATTTTGTAACTATTTATTTTCTAATTACTTGGAATTGTTATTTGTTTAGCTTTTAATAAATTTCCTTATTCAATGATATTATATGGTTTAATTTTTGAAATTAATCTCACATTGCTATTAATATCTAATTATTCAGACATCATATCCATTTGATTAATAGAAAGACTTAAATGAGTTGGAGTCTCAACTAAATTATTTGCATAAATCTCAGCATGATTAAAAAGCAAATAGGTTTATGAAAAGTTTTCTTCAATTAAATTATTTTATTTCGCAAAATAAATTCCTCCTCCTACTTTAGCCTTATTCAAAATCAAAATAGATTTATTTATTTTTATTTCAGATTTATTGATATTAGCATATACACCTCCTCCTAATTAACTTACTGTATTTCCAATTATTTTGCATCTGCATATAAATAATGTTATATTTTCAGCCATTATGGCACCACCTTGACTGCCATTATTTAAAATGAAATCAGAATTATGCACTGTAACTTTTTTTTTATAGTTCTCGGAGTTACCTTTAAAATTTAAACATCCATTCTCTTTGATTGAATTGTAAATACATAAAAACTCATTAATTTTCACATAATTAAATATATTAAGATCAAAAAACAAAATTCCCTTTGAACAACTTAAACAATTGTTTTGTATTAATTTTACTTAATTTATAATCAACCGGACCTAATTGTTTTAACTTATAAATTGAATTAATGGATAACCTATTTTATTTGATTGTTACTATAATAATTAGATATTTTATTTTATAAAATTTTAAGAACTATAATTATCAATTAAGATTAATTTTTTAAGTTAGCATTCAACAATTACATATTATTATATGTTTTCTATATTTTCAATGTTTTCTTCAATATAATTCATTTAATAAATTGAAAATCTTTAAATCATTATGTTTTAAAGTATAACTATCGAATTTAATTATTAATTAATAAAAATTAATGGTAATTAATAGAATGCAGAAATATCACTAATATATACATTCTTCATCAAAATTTGATTTGAATTAATAATTTAAAAAATCTATGATAATATGATACCTTAAATAATAAATTATTCAATCATAACTTATCCTCCTATAATATTAAACATTCCATTATCTTCATTAATCTCAGTAATTTCAGTAAATTGTCCAAATTATTAAAAATATCTAATCCAAGCTGATTTTTCAAAAATTACAGTAATATTTAACATTTTTAGTTTAAATTATTATTTGTTTTTGTTTAATGAAAATTAGACTTTCATTATTTAATTTATGAATGAAAAACAATTAATCACTTTTATATCCAATAATAATATTTTTGCTTTTCTTTAAGATGGACTAATAGAAAATATAACAGTACTCATTCCATTTACTACATTTAGAAAATTGGCATTGGATACTTATAAATTTAAATTACTATTTAGGGAATTAATATTTATACAACCAAAATTATCTGTTCCTTATTAATATATAGAATAGATTGATTCAATTGAAATGTTAATAAATTATATAAATCCTTAACCTTAAGTTTTAATATCAAAGATGGCACTAGTCAAAGCTAAAATATGTTAATATATTGAATTTTGGCAAATAAATTACTCAGAAATTATTTTCGCTACTCCTCCTTAAACATATATTGGATAAATTTATTGAATAATTTAGTTAATCTGATCTTAATCATATTATATATCAAGCTCAAATTCATAAAATTAACTCCATAATTTTTAATTAATTACATTATGATAACTTATAGTATTGTTCATAAATAATATTGATTGTGAAATTATTACAATAAAGGATGTAGATGAATTGGTTATAGCATTTTCTTTACAAAATAAATTATTAATAATTATTTAAGCTTATGGTGAATCTATATATACTAAACTAGCAAAATTTTCATTTGGATCATCCTGATATTAATGAAAAAAGTTATGGTAAAATTACAAGTTTTCAAATAAAACAAATTATTTATTTTTTGAATATATACTTATTATTGATAACATATTCCTTTAATGTACTTTTTATATTATATTATTTTCAATTAGAGTATCAGATATTTCAATTTTTTCATTAATAATTTGTAAATGTTAAAAATATGAAATTATTTCAATAAATGCTTAATTGAAATTTTAACAATTAAATATTTTAAGTTAATTTAGTTTAATATATGAAAATCCTTAAATAAATAATAGTTAATTATTAAATTAATCTTTCTATTAGCAATTATTAATCTAATTTTTTTTATAATTTTATTAAAATATCAGATTTTCTATT